CTCAAAAAAATCTGATACATCCAGATTTGTGACTGGCTTATTACGATCAATGAAATTCATTTCCAGATTTGTGATGTCAACTGGCTCTCATCATGATCAAGGAAATTCATTTCCTTTTGTTTCCCCTTTTCTTTCATTGAGGCTTGGTAAAGTTCAGTCAGATGCTTAGGTGTACGATAAATGCTTTGCCAATGCCCTGTCATTCCACATCGGTAATAGGTATTATCATGTGTCTTGGAAGGTTGAGCCACATCATTCCCTTTTCCCTGTTTCATTTCATTATGATCTCTCCTTTAGGGATATGGTGTGGATCTCTGATTGGGAAAATGTGAGGATTGATATCCTTCACGGTAATAAGAATGATTCCTACCACGACCATATTCATTGTTGTAACAGTTATTTTTACCCCGACCATATTCATTATTGTAGTCATTTCTACTACCACGACCACGTCTACGTCCGCATCCACGACCATGAGATGAAGCAACATATGTTTCAGGGATCGGTGTCGATCCAGTTGGACGAGACTGGTAGTTTCTTAACAAAAGCTCATTATTTTGCTCTACCACAAGCAAACATGATATCATCTCTGAATATTTTTAAAATCTACGCTCTCGATATTATTGTTGTAAGAGCACATTCGAGACGTGAAATGTGGTGAATGTTTTTTCCAACAAAATTTCATCAGTAATAGTATCACCACATAATTTCAATGTAGAGCTGATTTTGAATAGGGCAGAGTTATATTCAGCTACAGTTTTAAAATCTTACAATCTCAGTTGCTGTCAGTCAGCCCTGGCCTTTGGGAGAATAACTGTTTTTTGATGATCATATCTTTCTTTCAAATTGTTCTACAAACAAAGTGGATCTCTTTCAGTGAGGTATTTAGTTTTAAATTCCTCACTAATATGGCGCCAGAAGAAAATCATGGCATTTGCTTTATCATGTAATGATGCATCATTTTCTTCTTTAATTGTGTCTCAAGGCCCATGGTATCCAAATGGATCTGAGCATCCAGAATCCAAAATAAATAATTTTTGCCAGAAATATTCAGGGCCACGAATTCCAGCTTTGTCAAATTTTACATTTTCAGAATAACTAGATGTGACAACAATATAAAAATATAATTTAGCATCGTATATAAATAAAATGGCATTAAATGAAATAATAACATAATATGAATTATTTAAATAACAAATGTGGTAAAACCAGCCATAGGGAATAAATTATTAAATAATAAAGCAAGTAAGACCAACCATAATTAGTAGATCATTAAATAATAAAGGTGGTAGAACCGACTATAGTGTAAACACATATATCATTTAAGTAAACAAATTTATTTTATGAACAATAATACATAATTAAAATTTTCTTACCCTTTGGAGTCAGAAATACTATTTTCTTCGATAAAGCAAACCAACCCAGCAATCTATCAAAACTAATATCACAAAATAGATATATAGTTGGGAGAGAAAGCTTCTTCTTCAAATCTCAGATGGATAGAGCTCGTGCTGATAACGTATAATAAATAGATGTATGTGTGTGTGTATATATATATATATATATATATATATATAGTATAATATGTATTATAACTTGCAGAGAGAGAAACGAAAGAGAGAGAGAACGAGTATAACAGAGAGAGAGAATTTTATTTCACACTTTCATTTCATACATATAAAGCCTATTTATAGGCATATACTGAGGCTTCTCTTATAAGCCAATAAAGTAATCTTACTCCATACGCCAACAGGAAAATCTTCATTGATACCTTTAAGAATTCGTGGACCCCACACATTGATAGATATATACATAACATTTAACCACTAATGTATTTAATTAATACAACTGTAATAAATAATACTCCGTAATAATAACACTTGATTCATTGTTATTTGTTAACAGAATTCCCCAAAAAAAAAAAAACCACCACCAATTAAAAGATGAGTACAGAGGCAAAGATTCCGATTTACAAATCACCGAAAATAATTTTCTCAAAGTGCTATGGCAAGGGTGCAAATCCTCTGTTGTGCAATTTCTATGTTGTCTCCTGCTATGAACGTTAAGTGGTCTTGATTTGGCCACGTTTTACTCCACTTAATAGACACTAATGTTACGTTTGGTGTGCAGGAATGAAATGGAATGGAAGTAGGAATCGAATGAGAATGGAAATGGAATGAGAATGAGAATGGAATAGAATGGTCATTCTCATTCTATTGTTTAGTTGTGAATATGAAATGTGTAGGAATGAAATGATAATAACCATTCTAGTGTTTGGTTGGACCAATTTAAAATTTAGAATGAAATAAATTTCTAATTGAATTCTCCAAAATATCCCTCTTAGTAACAAATAAATTAAATTAAATTAACAAAATGATATTCTCTAATAATTTTTTAAAAATAAATGGTGGCAGTGGCTGTGGTGGATGGTAGAAAGCAGTAGTAATGTAGGTGGTGGTGTTAGAAGGCGACGGTGGTGGCAATGGTGGAAATTGGTGGTAGCAGTGGTGGTGGAAGGTGGCAGTGGTGTTGGTAGAAGGCGGTGGCAGTAGTGTGGTGGTTGTGGTGTAACTATAGTGGTGGTGGAAGGCAGTGGTGGAATGTGGTGAAGGTGGTGATGGAAGGTGGTGGCGGTGGTGGTGATGGAAGGTGGTGGCGGTGGTAGAAGGTGGTGGTGGGTGATGGCGAAAGGTGGTGGCGGTGGCGGTGGCGAAAGGTGATGGTGAAAGGTGGTGGTGGCGGTGGCGGTAGTGGAAGGTGGTGGCGGTGGCGGTGGCGGTGGTGGAAGATGGTGGTGGTGGTAGTGGTGGTGCAAGATGGTAGAAGGCGATGGTGGTGGTGGAAGGCGATGGCGGCGGCGTTGGTGGTTGTTGAAGGCGGCAGCGGTGGCGATGGTGGTGAAAGGTGATGGTGGCCGTGGTGGAAGGCGGTGGCGGTGGCGGTGGTGTAGGGCTGTGGCGGTAGCAGTGGCGGTGGTGGAAGGTGGTGGTAGTAGTGAAAGACAGTAACAGTGGTTGTGGTGGAAGGTGGTGGCAGTGGTGAAAGGCGATTGCGGCGGTGGTGGTGGAAGGTGGTGAAAGGCGATTACGGTAGTGGTGGTGGTGGAAGGTCGTGGCGGTAACAATGGTGAAAGGCGGCGGCGGCGGTGGTTGCGACAAATGGTGGCGGTAGCGGTAGTGAAAGGCGGTGGCGGTGGTGGTGGTGGAAAGTGGTGGGCGATGGTGAAAGTTGGTGGTGGTGGTGAAAAGCAGAGACGATTGTGGTGGAAGGTAATGGTGATTTTTAGACTTAAAATATGAGGGTGTTTTGGGAAATCGATTTTTTTAAATAAATTACTTGGGAATGGAATGGCCATTCCATAGGTTTAGTTGTGGAATGGATTTTCATTCCCAGGAATGAATTTTCATTCTAATGGAATGGTCATTCCCACTTTAAGTTGCATACCAAACAAAGGAATGGTTGGAATGGGCATTCCATTCCATTCCATTCCTGCACACCAAACGTAACATAAGATTGTATTTGGCAATTACACTACTGTTTATCAGTAATATTTCACCACCATTTATAAGTAACATCACAAAAGTCTAAAAGTAATATCACAGGAGTCTAAAAAGTAACATCTACGAGCAAATAGAACACCTTTCAGGAGTATCAATACCGTCACATGAATCGTAAATGCATAAATGTGATGTACCAAAAAATCTGCAGTTCCTAATAGAATAGGTAACAAAGCCACTTTGCCGCCCACGGCTACTAAATCATCACGTCATTTCTAAGAGGGTAACATCACTACTTAAAAAGTAAAGGTTGTTGACAACCTCATAATTCCCTTCAAAATCCTCTTAAAATTAACATGTGACTATTTTTTTGGATGTTCTTTTTTTATTATAAAATTTAACTTAAAAAATATATAAATAATATGTTAAATTGAGTTAGATTTATGTGTGATTATTAGTTTTTCGATCAGTACTATGTGAATACCTTTTATTGATGATGAAGGTGGTGAGTGTGACAATTAATATTAAACTTTACCAAATTTTTTCTTTTGATTGTGAAGATGATGTGTGTGACAATTAATATTAAACTTTGTAAAAAAAAATTCAAAGATATGTTAAATAATTTAAAACTAAGTGCATGTTTTTTTAATATTTTGAAGGAAAAAAAAAAAAAGATGTGGCGAGTGTTTTGTTTGTTGTCTAGAGTTAATCCAAGTGATTTTAATTTTGGTTTAAATTCTTTAAATTAACATGTGTTTTTAAAATACTTTAATTTCAAATTATAACATAAATGATATGTTGAATTGAGATGTTGAATTGAGTTACGTTTGTATGTGACATGTGCATACCTTATTTTGAGGGTGAAAATACTTATAAATGGTGGTAAAATGTTACTTATAAATGGTGGTGAATTGAGTTACGTTTGTATGTAACATGACTTAGTCTGCATTATGTGCATTCCTTATTTTGAGGATGAAGATACTTATAAATGGTGGTGGTGAATTGAGTTACGTTTGTATTTGACATTACTTAGTCAGCATTATGTGCATACCTTATTTTGAGGGTGAAGATACTTATAAATGGTAGTGAAATGTTATTAATAAATGATTATGTAATTGCCAAACGTAGTCTTAGTATATATTAAGTGGAGTAAAACGTGGCCAAACCAAGTCCACTTAACGCTTAATGTAGGGACGGCATGGAAATCACAGTAGAGGATTTGCGCCCCTTAATTGTCGTTGCTTGTCAATCACAATCAATATAATAATATATAACACAATCAATATAAGAATATATAACACGAGGAAAATAGTTATTAATGCTGAAAATAGTTTGTATATATATAGATATTGAATTATTTATTTATTTTTTTGGTGTGCAGGAAAATATATGCACAATTTATATATTAATCGTTAAATTCTATTAGGCAGTGAAAAGGGTAACACCAAGAATAATATATAGATATATATACTATATATACACACATTATATAGGGTTTCCTTTCAAGAGGTGAACAGTTAAACAAATCACTCATCCAAATGATAACACAACACACATATTTCCAAAATCCAATGGCAGGGCAAAAGAACCCACTAGATATTTTCTGACACTTCTGATCTCCAGAGTGTTTGATGCATTTAGAATCTCATTATGAGAGACAATGAATTCAGGAAGGCCACACAAATTTCTAGCCAGATGTGTACCAATTACATATCCATAAAACCAGCAGAGTAGAATCCATAAAATTAAAATAAAAATAAAAATAAAAATAAAATTATATGTATACAGATAGATATACTTACAGAGAGATTGACCACTAATGATTTTAGTGAAATGCTGGGCAGCCATCAACTGAAATGCCTGGGGCAGTAGGACAAGAAGCCAACACGCAGCGGTCACCTAGATCGCTGCTTCCCCACCAATCAAGCGAAATGTTCTTCGATTGCAGGGCAAAGAATAACAACACGGACATGAAGGCAGTTCCGGCATCAAAACCACCGGAAAGGACATAATTGTAGCGCTCCCACCACTCGGGTCGATACCTGAAGATGACAAAGCCGGACAGGAACCCAACGATGATCCAGCTGGTGAAGTTCACGGCAGAAGCTGGGGGCATCATTGCTGTGGCGCCCAACAAGACTGGCATGTGGATGAGGCGAATCCATCGCATCTTTGGGAATGTCTTGTGTGCCAACCACACTAGTAGAGGAGCAACGGCTCCACCCATAAAGAACCAGTTCACCTTCGAGTATGCACCGAGGTTTCCAAAGATCCTGCGCGGCCCAACCAGGCCCCAAATAACCGAGGCATCGTAGAAAACACGGTCCATGGGGCACTTCCACTGGCTGTCATGAGGCAACACCGAGGTATCACAGAGGTCGGGAATGGCTCCCATCATCCACCATGCGGTTGCCTGGTATACTACCACTGCTATAAGTGTTCCCACCACCTGAAAATCGATTAAGTTTAGCTTTCCACTATTCTTGTTAATTGGTTTCATAAACAATACTGAAAGTATTTTAAGGCGGGAAAAGAATCCGACCTGTGCCATGAACATCATCCTAGGAGGAATCTTCATGTAATGTCCCAGCTTGAAGTCAGATAGAAATGTTAGAGCCTGAGTCATACTGATGTATCCATACACCTTAAAGCACATGTTGGCGACAGGTCGCTCTGGGTACATATACCCTATAATATACTCCGTGATAATGTTCAAGCCTGGTTGCTGTGAATGTCAACAAGGAAAAAAGATGAGTGTGAATTAATGTCAAAATAGTTTTCAATTCATACAAGGCAATTCCAAAAGCTTTGGTTTTTTACCTGGTTCGTGGTGGCATTGATGATCCCTATTGGAAGGGTGAAAATAAGAGCAATGGCGCAAGCTAGCAACACACCCCACCAAGGCAACTGAAGTGTGTCATTGTAATACTCGCAAGCAAAGATAATGGCGGCAATGTTCACTATGAGAATTATTATAAACCACCACATGGGCACTTGTTCGTATTTCTTCATAAGCCTAGTGTGTACATCCATCTTCTTATTCCCACCAAAGGCCTTCCTGCTTTGCTTCCAAATATCACTGCATGTATCAAGGTTCAAACAAGCTTAGCGCGGCCTGAAAACCCAAGGAATTTACTTTTAAATGGAAAAATGCAAGCAAGTTAGTTAGCATTATAGACACCAGGCAGACTTGTTATAAAGAGAAAATTTAGGCTGAGAATAATAAAAATGAAGGATTCTATTTTCAAGGTATTGATGATACGGCGGTGCATACCTTCCATTAAAGAGGAGGACATGGACAAGAGTTGCAGAAAGCGTGGCGAATCCAAGACCATATGTCATAGCAAAGAAGGTGCTCATATAGACTGGGCCAGAGTTGGTATAAGCATCCACGTCAAGATGAAAGTTGGAATCAATGATGCTTGAAATGTTGTATTGCGAACCACTCGACATGAAAAGCTCGTTAGAGTATATGGGGAAGTTTTTGGCGTTGTAGAAGTTGAGAAAGTAAGTAAGGGGTGTCATCACATACATGACAAGGCAAAATCCAAGGGCAACATTGGCAGTGGCAAACCATGGGCTAGCTAGTGGACTCCCAAGGTATGATGCAATTGTAGTCCAGTCAAATCCTAAGGCGGCAATTCCGAGTCCATTTGTACCCGAGCCTAATTGTTGCACCAGGACAGACTTGGGAGCAAACCAACAAATCCAGGAGACAGATGTTAACAATGTAAAAAGATAGCCCGGAAAGGCGTAGTAAGCGAAGCTGCAAAGGAAGGTTATGAGGAAAAATTGGGTCCGAGTCATGCCACCTCTGGGTCTCTTCTCTTTTTCATGTAGAGCCCTGCAATACTAACATATGTTACACTTTGATCGGCAATGAAATTGAGTACAAAATAATTATCAACAGAAAGAAAATAAACACCTGAATAATGAGACTTGAACCAGATTCCCCGGCCACCACATTTCTCCTGGCTCAACCAGATGTTTTCGGAAAAGCCCAGCCCAGCCGAAACCCAACACCTACCGTTTAAATAAGAAGAGCAGGTTGGAAGAGTGATGAATGTAAAAACTCATACATAAATGGTTATAACAAAAATAAATAAAAATTTTAATTAGTTCCTAATTTAAAATTTAATTTCTTATAATGGAGTACCTGAAACCGTGATTCTATTGAAATTCCCAAACTCCAATAATCTATTTGGATCCTTATAAACAAATTCCTAGATTTTGATTTGCAATTGAAATTTAGGTCAGAAGAAGAGATAGGGTACCCTGAGTGGTGATCATAACAACAGAAACAGAGAGAGATAGTTTCTTCTTATTAGTGTTTAATTGCACTTAATGTAGCATAATGTAGATTCAAATTTTTATTAGTTACACAAATAAAGTTTGTTACCTAAATACATACATGCTCTCAATTTGAATCTTGATAAACAAATTAATTGATTTTGATTCTCTATTTTAAATAGAATTAGTAAATTGGTTAGAAAAACAAACAAAAGAGTATTCCATCAATCAATCAAACAAACAAACAAAAGCAAGTAGATAGAGATAGAGATAAGAGTACCTGGGTGGTGAGCATAACCAGAAAAGCAGGGAGAAATGTGAGCTTCCTCTTGTACAAGAGTTTAATAGCACTCAATATGTGAGTTGCATAAACGGTGCCAGCACCCGAATTCGCAAAAATGGTGATCAAAACATGTTCTTTGATGTTAAAAGGTCCCGGATTCAACGTGAACTGCCACCGGCTACCCTGAAAGAAGACCCGATTCGTAATGGTCCTCGCCATCAAGTGCCCGAGAGGCACCACCGCAATCTGAGCCGATATGGAGCCGATTGTCAATGGCTCCGTCCGGTACCAGAAAAACTGATTGACGAAGGACAAAACAAGACACGCAGTGATGCCCAAAACCCACATTCTGAAAGTGAGCACGGGCATGGTGGGATCATCAGTTTTGGGCACCGTCATGTCCACTTGTTTGATCGGGCAGACATCGGAGGACTCCATGGCCGCCGCCGCCAGACCCTCCTCGCGTATCTCAGCCATGAATGTGGCTCAAAATTGATGATGAATGATGTTCTTGTTCTCTGATACCAAATAGTGTCGTTATACAGAGTACTACTGCAACTACTTATGATACATATATCATCGTCAAATCAAATCACAAATAATACATATATGTGTATGGATATATATATATAGAGGGAGGTACCATAATGATAGTAGTGTTGGTGTTTGACTAGGACGTTTAACAGAGATTCCAGAGTATCTGTGGAGTTAACTTCCTATTGGATAGGTTAGCGCACTATAAGGATCCTAAACCCACACTGATTTTTTTTCCTTATTGGACGGAGTGGTATTTGTTAAATTAGTTGGACTTACCTTAAAATAAAAGTACATTAATTTTTTTTTTTTCTAAAAGTACATTAATATTATATATATATATATATATATATATATATATAGCATTCCTTTCTGTCTCTATATAAGCTTGAGAATCTATTTATACAATATAGGTAGGTAAGCTTCTCGGATATTTCGTGATGCTATAAAATTCCAACTGTAAATAGATATTTTTGTATTTATGACACGCGGGAAAGGAAAGAGTGGTAGCTGTCGATGCGTTGTTTGTTGAATCTTTTGATTCTTTTTTGTTTTTTATATCAGGATTTCTCTCTCTTTTCTTTTCTTTTCTTTTCTTTTCTTTTTTTTTTTAACACATAAGCAATAAAGTGTTTCTGAATTGGAAAAGGAACCCTAACCTAATCCCATGTGGACCACGAGGTGGTGTGGAGCTCACCTGGTTAAGAGGTGAGTCCACCCACATTTAAAACACAATTGTTGGATTCCTCGACTTTGTAATACCACTCATATAAAAATAAAAAATTTCCATTATTAGATTTTGTAATTATTAAATGATCATCATCAATTTAATCAAAACTAATCTAATGTTTACATTTCTGTGTAATATAATACACTTTTGTGAGTCAATTTTTCTTAATTGAATTAATCATCTAATAATTTATGGTTCGAGATGGGCAAGAGCCGAGGGAGAGAGGGGGGCCAAACTAGTAATAAAAAAAAAATTAAAAATAAAAATAAGAATTGGAGGGCCAACTTTAAAATCTCTATACAAAATTACTATTATTAACTACAAATGCATGCCCTGGTCACGAGAAAAACTTCTTTGTACTTGTTATGCGCATTCGGACCATTCGTATAATACATACACCGCTCAGGAGAAAAGTCGTTGCACATCCGAACTGTCTATCTAATACACGTGCAATAAGAAATGATTGAATGTGCCCGTTACACAGTACAAGAAGTCCAAAAAAAATTTCTCCTCGCCCTTCCCTCCGTCTGTCCCTAGAGATGGGAATAAATTTTTTGAAAAGGAAGTTCTTTCAACAATAATTAGACAATAAAGGAACACAGATTTTTTTATTTAAAAAAAAAAAAAAAGAAAAAAAAAGGGAAAACATTTTTGTTTGAGCATGTCCTTGTGATGCATGCACAAGAGCAACAGTGCTACCCTAAGGCTTCGTTTGGTTAGATGGGAAATTTAATGAAAAGTGAAAGAAAGAAAAATTAAGTTTTCATTGTGCATTTGGTTAGCAAGAATTTTTTTGTAGGAAAATATTATTTTGTTAGTTTGGATAGCATGAAAAGAAAAAAAAAAAAAAATGATTCTATTTACCAGAAACACCCTTATAATTATAAATAGTAATAAAATAAATAAATTTGAGTTAGACTCATATTCTTTATACTTAATTATTTATTTTAGTAAGCAAATAGTGAAATATGAAATAAAATAATATGTGATATCATATATAATTTTTTGTATTTTTTTACAAGGACTAAAACCTCGAAGTTTTACACTTTAAAAGTTGAGTAAGTACCAATATAATTGACTAATTTAACTTGTGTATATGAAAAAATATTGATTATTATTACTACGAATAAATTATGCCAACTCTGTTCTATTTTTAACAAAATATTGAGTCATTGGATGTATCTCATTGAGTGGAACACTCTAGCTAATATATACATATATGTATGTATTATTATGGTATGTTGTCTTGAGATGACATGGTTTATGAAATAATAGTATTACCAACTGCGAAAAATTGAGCAATTGCAGCCATCATTGAAAAATAATGAAAAATAATAATTTAATAATGGAAGGAAAAATTAAATTAATTTTACAAACACACATAAAATAACAAACAATTAAATTAGTAATAGACAAATTAAGTAATTTACAGAACAAGGAAACTTTTCATTTTCAATGAAGTCTATTTAGTTTAGACAACAGATATGGGCATAATTGGAAAGCAAGAAATAAAGTGCTCAATTTTTATGGAAAAGTAGATTTTCATGTGTTTTAAGTTTGAAAAAATTTGAAGAAAATTTTCAAATGTGAAAAATTTACATTTCTCAAAATTTTCACTTTCTATCTAACCAAAGTACTGAAAAATTTAAAAAAAATTCGTTCTTTCCCTTTCTTGCTGCTTCTTGTTGACCAAACGGACCTAAGTGAATTATATAATTCAGAGTGAGTATCAAATGGTTTATTTTAATAGCACTTGAAAAAATGTCGTCTGTGATGTCTTATCCTAATAACAATTGGCAGTGAGTGACAAAGCTGCCAAAAATCATGTGTGGCGCACTTACACTTACTAGATCGTTTGGGTCGTGCTGAAAATCCTTTTTGACAAGGACACACAAACACACACACACATATATATATATATACTATTATTAAATATTTCAGTATTTCAGTATATAAATTCTATATTAAAAAATATTACATGAAAAGCTCTTATAAAACTATAGAGCTAAAGAAATAATAATCACACCTTCTCGGCCTTTTGGCTAAGATTAAGTGTAGTACTAAATTTTTTTGGATCGGTCTTTTGGCTAAGATCAAGTGTAATAGTACTTTCTCGACCTTTGTGCAAAAAGTTTAGTCTATATAAAACTCTAATTTTTAGTTCAATATAAATAAATAAAAATAGTTATTTTTTATGAATAATTATCATAATATAACCGGCCAGGCCCAGTTATGATTGTGTAATTATCAGAAAAGGATACGTGTCATCATCCTATTAATTTCAGAAGCCTATAAATAAAGGCATGAAGGAAGGAGGAAGGGATACAGAAATTGAGAATTCCAGAGTAAAATAGAAAAATTCTGTCAAAGAGTTTCAGTATTTATTTATTTATATAAAAAAATATTTATTAATTGATATAATACTATTATTAGATGTGCAAAAAATTTCAATATTTAAGTACAAATTACCTATTTATCTATTTATTATGAGTTTTGCTCTTGGGCTTCACCCCAAAAGGCCTCATATCAATTGGAGGTGACACACTTACATATAAGCACTTCACCTTTCCTCTACCCAGGCGATGTGGGACTGTGCACCTGTAGCTCGCCAGTGTGGTAGCCTGACAGTGTCTCTCGCACCCGCTCACGGCACACCCGCCCACAAGGTCATCACAATCCACCCCCCTTAGAGGCCCGACGACCTCGTCGGCACACTTCCAGCTGGGTCAGGCTCTGATACCATTTGTAACGACCCACTCCACCATATGGTATGATATTGTCCGCCTTGGGCCTGAGCCCTCACGGTTTTATTCTTGAGTTTCACCCCAAAAGGCCTCATACCAATTGGAAATGATGCACTTACATATAAGCACTTTACCTTTCCTCTACCCAGGAGATGTGGGACTTGTGTACCCGTAACTCACCAGTGTGGTAGCCTGACAGTGTCTCTCGCACTCGCCCACAGCACACCCGCCCACAAGGTTATCACAATCCACCCCCCTTGGAGGCCCGACGTTCCCGTCAGCACACTTCCGGCTGGGTTAGGCTCTGATACCATTTGTAACGACCCACTCTACCACATGGTATGATATTGTCCGCTTTGGGCCTGAGCCCGCGCGGTTTTGTTCTTAGGTTTCACCCCAAAAGACCTCATACCAATTGGAGATGACACACTTACATATAGGCACTTCACCTTTCCTCTACCCAGGCGATGTGGGACTGTGCACCCGTAACTCGCCAGTGTGGTAGCCTGACAGTGTCTCTCGCACCCGCCCACGGCACACCCGCCCACAAGGTCATCACAATCCACCCCCTTGGAGGCCCGACGTCCTCGTCGGCACACTTCCGGCTAGGTCAGGCTCTGAAACCATTTGTAACGACCCACTCCACCACATGGTATGGTATGAGGCCTTTTGGGGCGAAGCCCAAGAAAAAAACCGTGCGGGCTCAGGCCCAAAGCAGACAATATCATACCATGTGGTGGAGTGGGTCGTTACAAATGGTATCAGAGCCTGACCCAGCCAGAAGTGTGCCGACGGGGACGTCGGGCCTCCAGGGTGGTGGATTATGATGACCTTGTGGGCGGGTGTGCCGTGGGCGGGTGCGAGAAACACTGTCAGGCTACCACACTGGCGAGCTACGGGTGCACAGTCTCACATCGCCTGGGTAGAGGAAAGGTGAAATACTTATATGTAAATGTGTCACCTCCAATTGGTATGAGGCCTTTTGGGGTGAAACCCAAAAGCAAAACCGTGCGGGCTAAGGCCCAAAGCGAATAGTATCATACCATATGGTGGAGTGAGTCGTTACAATTTATTAATTGAAAATTACCTAATAAAATCATGGAAAGTGTTTCTGTATTTCAATATCTATTTATTTGTATAAAAAAAAAAAAAAAAATTATTAATTGATATAAAAATAGTTTTTGTAAAAATAGTTTCTATAATACTCTAAAAATTATCTAATAAAATCAATCACATTCTTTATAAAACTCTAATTTTTAGTTCAACATAAAAAGAATAGTTATTTTTTATGAATAATTATCACAATATAACTGGCCCGGCCCAGTTATGATTATGTAATTATCAGAATGTCTTATTAATCCAAGAAACCTATAAATAGAGGGAAGGAGGAAGGGGTACAGAAATTGAGAATATTAGAAATCCAAAATTTTAGAATAAAATACGAAAATTTTGCCAAAGAATTTCACTATTTATTTATTTATATAAAAAAAATTATTAATTGATATAAAAAGAGTTTTTATCTGTCCCATTATTAGATGTGCAAAGATTTTCAGTATTTAAGTATTTATTTATTTATATAAAAAAATATTTAAAACAATAAAATCTACATAATAAAATTTAAATTAACCTATTTATCTATTTATTATTATGAATTTTTTAATAAAAGAAAATCTAATTAGACAATAATTACTGATATAAAAAAATATTTATTAATTGATATATAAAACAAAATAAATTTTCTAAAACTCTACCACAAATTAGCTTTTATTATGAGTTTCTTTATAAAATTAAATCTAATTAGACAAGGATATAGTTAAAGAAAATAAAATAAT